GTATCTAGAATCTAGATACAAATCTAGAAAAATTTAACACAACCAAAATACAGAAGTTTTTAAACTCACAAAGAAATTTACTGAAGTCTAAATGAAGAGGTTAAAGTTTTCTTCCATTTTTCATTAACGACCAGAGGTTAGCTTTTCAAAAATTGGTACTGCTAATTTACCAAAGTGTGTTTCCTAATGAGGCATGATTATTTCAATTCATAGATATTAAGAAAATGTAAGCAACAGAATAGAATTACTAATTTTCACAAATGCAGAGGGAGAGGTGGTGAAGAAGCACAAATTACATGACCTTATTTGTAATATTAGCTCAAACTGTAACAATTTTAATATATTAAAAATTGACATTAATCATCACACTAAACCTTCAGTTACTAAATAATGAAATCAATGCTATTTCTTCCTTCTCAAATTCCTCTTTCACTCACTTTAGCCTACAGATGTACAGCTAACATTAAAACTATCCTAAGCACTTACACTAATGTTCTTATCATCAGGGTGAAAAAAGCTTAGCAGTTCACACTGGAAATGAGAAGGTCCTAAAAACTGATTTACATGCTAAAAATTCCACAACTGCTGCAAAGAGCTAAAAATATGGAATATGACTCCGTAGGAAACACAACTTAGTAAATCAGCAACACTAACTTTTGAAAAGCTAACTCTTGTGATTGTGAAAAAAATGGAAGAAAAGTCTATTTCTCTTTATAGTCTAGTTCATAGGGAAGGGGCATTTTGTAAAGGTTAAATGTCATTTATAAAGCACAGAAATCAAATAAATGGGTTGTCTGGGCAAAAGAAATGAAGTGGAAAACCTATCACTAAAATATCTAGAAAGACTAGGTAAACTGAACAACAAAAAGATATTTAAAATATACAAAAATAAAGTGAAACAAATACTATCTACCCATCCAAGTCTAGAAATGTAAAGGAAACTGAAATCCAGAGATAGTTTTGAAGGCATGATCTGGCCAACAAAGGAAGAGTGAGTGTTGGTTAACTTTTTTTTCTCTCCTTAACCTAGGGGTTTGGGGTTCACATCTACATGAGACTGGATACAAAGCCTTATACTTTAATAATTCAGGAAGCAGAACCAGGGCCCCTGCATAAAACATGGCTAGAAAGAGCTATGCACTTCCCAAAAAAGAAAGAGACACAGAGAGACAGAGGGAAGAGAGGAAGGAAAAAAAAAACTACCAGCATAAGAAGTCTCTTTGCTCTGCCTAAGTTTTCCTTTGGTACAGGAAAAAGTCACCCAGGGCTGACACCTCATAAGGGTTTGAGGCCCACATTTGTATTACCCATACAATCTAGGGCTGAGAAATTAACAAAAATATAGGTCTACAACTGGACACTTTGCAAAAGCAAATGCAAACCATCACGAGACTACTCCCACAGCCCCAGGCTACATGAGATTCCCAAAGAAAATACAGACTGCACTAAAGATAAATCTGCAATCAAAGTTTACAAATCAGAAACAATTTACTATGAATGAGAGTTGGCACATACAAACCATATGAAATCATTTAACAATCTTAAAGAGAATATAAAATAAGTATGTTTTAAATAATTAGACATATAGGAAGAAATTTTAAACTATTAAAAGGAATAAGAAACCATTAAAAAAAAAAAAACCCTAGCAGATGTGTAAAAGAATCAAATAGAACTTTCAAAGGCAGAGTCTTCTGCTTCTGGTGATATGTCAAATTAGATATTCCTAAGGACCCTCCCACTACAAAACAATTAGATCCAGTGCCTTGTATAGTAATTCTGTGGAGAAAGAAGCTAATCTTCTACATAAAAGAGTAATATGATGTTATGATAAATCACAGAGAAAAAAATGTGACAATGAGTGTGTATATGTCCATGAATGACTGAAAAATTGTGCTGAACACTGGAATTTGACACAACACTGTAAAATGATTATGAATCAATAAAAAATGTTAAAAAAAAAGAGTAATATGAGCCACAGAACATGGTATACTTCAGCAGAATAAAAAAGTTATCTTAAGATCTGTAACTCGTATTATTCCTTTAAAGAAGAGCAAAGGACAGAAATATCATAAGCTAATGGTAATCCTAAAAGAGAAATATCTGTGGACAGGTAGAACAGTCAAGCACAACAAATTTTCATGACATTGACTTATCTATTACATACTAGGTATAAAATCAATCTTCAGAAAGAACTTCCATTCTGGTCTCTAGCATATTTTAAGTCACCTAATGCTCTGACAGTAGTGTCATAAGATAATCCCCTCTAAATTAAGCCATCATAATGGTCTTTTAGATGAGTGGCCCTCTAATAAGATCAGCTCCTATTTCTAGCACAAGCTAAAGCAAAGAGCAAATGCACTTGTCTAAAACATGAATTTCATAGATCTCATTTCTGAGCAGTCTGTCCCCTGAAAGCTACAGAAACTGGCTTATTCTGGAGATACTTAACTTCTATTCTGGAAACAGTGAACTAGATTCAGGAAATACACAAAAGTTGTCTATTTTTACACGTGCTAATGCTGCAAAATAAAACCTTTGGTGACTAGAAGAATTTTAGAGTTTTCAGAGGTGGCACATTTGCTGTGCTTTATTAAAGCAATTCATGCTTGGATAAACTAAAAAAACATTTTATTCATTTGATCATTTTCTACCTTCAATGTAAGATTTCAAACACTAAGACTAGCAGTCACTTAAACAAAGAAGGAGGTGTTTTTTGTTTTTTGTTTTTTTATAATTTTCACGCCTCCTGCTACACCTAGGTGTTTGTCACCTTGCTATTTCAACCAGTGTGTTATTACTCAGAATATGAAATGTTATCACTCAAAAGATTTCATGAAGACATTATTTTACTGTACAATCATTACCCAACATTATCAATCATATTATAACATTAAATAAAATTTTAATTTTCTTTGTATCAGGAATTCTAATGAAAGCTTGTTAAAGAATGTTGCTGCGTAGCATCATCATGATTACAGAAATGTCATTTTTTTTATTAAAACGATTGCAGGATTTTATAGTCAGCCAATTCCCCCCGAACACCATAGCACAAATTCTCAAATTATGATGTACGTTCTCATTCACATCTGTCACATTAAGAATGAACTAAACTGACTAATGGAAGTCCACTGTTCACACAACACAGACAAACCAAAAGATGCAGGTAACCAATAAACAAAGAAGATTGGTTTTCTATATTCTGTATTAGTCTTGATCCACTGAATCACTAGGTGAT